AGTTTGAGGTTGCTGTGAGCTAGGCTGATGCCACGGCACTCTAGCCCGGGCAAAAGAGTGAGACTCTGTCTCAAAAAAAAAAAAAAAGTAATGAATAAAAATTTTAACTACTTGAAGAAAGGGATTTCTAGTGATTAAGAGCCAGGCCTCTGTGAGCGTCTGTGCGTGCACATGTGTACACATGCATGGGTCTGGCATGTGTGTATGCATGTGCACGTATGTATGCTCACGCCTGCATGTGTGCACACGCCTGCATGTGGATGCCTGTGTGCATGCGTGTGTTTCTGACTGGGGTGCCAACCATTCGTGCCATCAACTGGCCACTCGAGCATGGGCAAGGCAGCCTTGTGGGTGGCCACCCCGCGTGGCTGTGGAGAGGAGCAGCCAGTGCCCAGGGGCCGTGCACGTCAAGTGGCAACAGGGATACTCACTGTCGGGCACTGTGGAGTCTTAAACGTGACCTTGAATCTGGTTTGGACCTCTCCGGGGATGGCCGGGGTGAAGACGACGGGCACTCTGATGGAGCTGAAGGGGCCCAGCTCCCCCTCTGTTACCTGCGCAGGAAGAGGGACGGCAGAGGGCTCCTCCCACTCACCCTCATGACAGCATGTCACTGCAAGGGTGAGGGGTGGCAGGACCTATGTCCCTGGGGCGGCCACCTGAGGACTTAACCTCTCTAGGATCCCAGTCGAGGGGAGGTGAAGGCGGCCTGGGCTCCTCCCTGCACCCTCCTCCCAGTGTGGGCATCCATGCTATGCCCTGGCCTGGAGGGCCCACCATCAGTGTCCTCTCTAGGCTGGACCAAGAGCCCCACGGCTAGGAAACTAGCCCTGCTGCTCTGGTTCTGTCCAGCCCCAGCCTGGGGAGGGGGTGGCCCTATGCTACTGGGATTGCAAGGTGCCTGGGGGTCCAGCCTGGCTCTGGTCAAAGGGAAGGGCTGTGTGGGGGTGGTGGGGCCAGTGGGCCGGGAGGGCATAGCTGGGGCTGATGGAACATGGGCTGTGTCCTGCTCGCGCAGCCAGGGTCTGAGCAGGATGGGCTGGCTGACCCCCCCCAGTGTGATCTCTGTCTGGTCTTCCACGGACTGCATCACGGTGGTTAATCTCTCTGGTTCTGGAAGAGAAGGGGCGTCCAGGTGTGAGGATCTGCCAGGCAGGAAGGCGCAGCTCTGTCCAGACCCACCTGGGACGTGGTCACTAGCACGGCCCACACCTGGCTGGAAGAGAGGACTGGAAATGTTCCCGACACTCAGACATGGCGAGTGCTCAGGACGAGGCCTGCACAGACCCTGACTAGGTCAGTCCACGTTCTGTGCACGTACGCCAAACGTACATACAATGTTTTATACCAGTGAAAAGAGGGCTTTTGTATTAAGACGAGGAAACAACAGAATGCTTTGTTTTGGGCAATTAGAAACAGACCCTCTACAAACATCCACATGCAGGCTTTTGTGCAAAGAGTTTTCATTTCTCTTGGTAAAGGGGCTGTGGGTTGTAGGATCTTGTTTCACTTTGCAGGAAGCCGCTGACCTGCCCTCCCAGGGGCTGCGCCACCTCCAGTCCCAGCAGCAGTGAGAGCCGCGCCTGCTCCTCCCAGCACCTGGCGCCATCAGTTTGTGTTGTGATCCCGCCATGCTAACGAGCGCGTGGCAGTGCCCACTGCGGCTTTAACTTGTGTTTCCTTCACGTGTAACGATGCTGAGCATCTTCTTATGCGTTTATTTGCCATCCACATATCTTCTTTGGTGAAGTGTCTGTTTACATCTTTTACCCATTTTTTGACTGGTTATTTGTTTTCTAATTGAGTTTTGAAAATTCTTTACGTATTTTGGATCCAAGTTCTTTAACAGCCATGTGATTTGCTAACATTTTCTGCCAGTTTTTGGCTTGTCTTTTTATTTTCCTTATAGTTTTTTGAAAAGCAGATATTCTCAATTTTGATGAAGTCCGGTTTATAATTTTAAAAAAATGGACCATGCTTTCGATGTCGTATGTGAGAGTTTGTGCCCAAGCCGGGCACACGTCTGTGCAGGTGGATGCTGTGTGGGACCCACACCGCGGCTCAGTGCACACAAAGCCTGACGGCAGGAGAAGGCAGCCGTTTCTCAGTGTCTGTGCAGATATGGAAAACTATAAAAAGCAGCAAGGAAGTGATGAAGACAATTCAAGACAGCTGTCCCAGGTGCAGAGCAGCGTGCTGGGGAGGGAGCTCTTGCTCCCGCATCTCAGCGCTGGGTGGGCCCTGCATTCCTCCTTCCTCTAACTGTCCTCACATGCCACACTTCCGTCCTGCTGGTGTGAAACAAACAGCACAGCCGCAGAGACCAGCAGAAGCCGGCGGCTCCAGATGGCAGCACACCCACCCTCAGTGTGCCACAGTCCCGCTGGTGGGACCGGCTTGGTGGCCCAAAGCTGGGGGCTTCCTTCAAGTCTTCCGTTAGCTTCAGCATGAGCGTAGATTTCAATCCAGTCCATAGCCAGCATTTATTTGGATATGTGAACATTAGTTTATATACTATCACTTAAAATTGAAGCCCTGGGAAAATTCCAGACCTTCCAGTTCTCCCCAGCATGGCCTGAGCCCTGGGCCCCGCAGGCCCTGGCTGCCAGGAGGCTCCTGGAATGTCATCCCTGGGCCCTCACCCGCCCCCAGCCCCCAGGGCCAAGGCCCACAGCTCCCTGGGGAGCTGGAGGCAGCAAGAGCGGGTGGCTTGGCTCACCTGCAGGCTGCGCCTCCTCCAGGTCCCTGCTGTCCAGCTTCTGCGACTCCTTCCCGCTCTGCATGTCCACGGGGGAAGACTCGTTGCCCTCGAGCTGTTGCTCAGAAAAGCTAGTAATGGTTTTTTCATATAAACTTTTATCTTCGTAGGTGAAGAAACTACCCTGAAGAAGAGAACACAGCATCTTGGCGATTTCCCATTTACTTTCCTACTCGCCTCCCAGACCCCCTTCTTGCTGGGCGCCCGTGTGAGGAGGTACCAGGTCCGGGGCTGGGTCCTGGCTCCCGCGTGCCCACCGTGGCTGTTCATGGCTGTCCATGGCTGTTCCTCCCAGCTGTGCCCCTGTTGTCCGTGGCTGTCCACGGCTATCCCCCTCTACTGTCCCTCAGGCTGCTCCAGGAGCTCAGGGCCAAGCCTGGCCTCCTTCCCCCACCTGGGAGGCTCTTCCTTATCTCTGGCAGGCACGGACGCCCCATCTGAGAGCCCCTGTGTGCTGGTCTGGCACGCGACCGAGTCCTCGCCACCCCAGCCCACCTGGCCCCGACTGGCCCTCCTCCCTCTTCAGCTGGTGGGAGGCACAGCCATCCTCTCCACCTGAGCTCGGGGACATGCCCAGTGTTTGGTCCTCTCTCACGTGGGGTCAACCACCCACTCCAGCCCTGCTCTCTCCTGAGCTTCAGCCCAAACACCCGCCGGCCTGAGAACCCTGCACTCTTCCTCTCCTGGCCGCCAGGCCACCCGCCCAGGCCTCTCTGGGCTCTCACAAGAGTCACTGAGCACCTGCGGGCCACAGTGGGGGACGGACAGGGTGCCAGGTGGATACTGCCAGGAGGAGACAGTGTGCTCTCTGGGGTCCACAGGCAACTCGTCCCTCCCCGGCCCTCTCCCCGGGCCAGACCACCACCCCTCACCCCAGCTGCAGCAGCCTCTGCCACTCACGCTGTCCTCAGGGGTGGCGGCCCGTGTGGCCCTGTCCTCCCCAGGGGGGAGAACCTTCCAGGGCTTTGCTGAGACCCCTTAACATGGACAACAGAACTGCAGAGTTCTGTGATGCTTCTTTTAGGGAATTTTCAAATAATTTAGAAGTGTATTAAAAAAGGCAAAGTTCCTGCCTCCCGCCCTCAGCCCCCAAATGATCCACCGTGATCTACTGGGTGTGGTGGAAATTATTCCACGCATGGGATACCCCCTAGGATAACCTGAGGCTGTTTTCACACTGGATGGCCCATCTGCGAAGGGACAAAGGCCACCCCACGCTTTTGGAACAGGTGCAGGTGAGGCCATGGGGTCAGCCTGCTCAGCCTTCTGGGTCGGGATGGTCCACCCCGTGCCCAGGACATTAGCAGCGCATCAGGGGAAGTGTGGGTCCCCCAGGACTCTCAGGCCTGGTGCTCTCAGCTGCTGCCCCTGTCACCACATGCCTGAGAGAGGGACAGTGTCCTGCTGCCACTGCACCTGAGGCCAGATGACTGCAGATGTCCTTGTGAGCTGGTCTCCTGCTTCGGCTGATCTGAGGATGGCCCATGCTCCCCTGTGTCTCCCAGCCCCACTGTGGACATGCTCCTGCACCACCCCCGTCCACACACGGACTGGGTTTAGGGGAAGGTGGCCAAGCAGCACACTCACCATCCTCAGGAGGGACCGAGAGTCATCTGTCTCGCAGAGCTCCGAGGCTAGAAGGAACTTGAACTCCGTGCCCAGGCCCCCAACGTTGGTTAGCGTGATGGTTCGGGATGCGGTCTCACCCACCATGTGGCTGCCGAAGTCGATGAGCTCCTTGTCGAGGGACAGCTGTCAAAGGACACCAGAGTGAGCCCGGGTGCTCACCAGGCCAGCTGGTGCCCAGCGTGAGGGACACAGGTCCTGAAGGGCACGGCAATCCCGCCTGTCACCCTGCAGCCCTGAGGGGACACGGGGTGCCCTGGCCCCTTCTTGCCCTAAAGGAGGAGGCCTCCGTCTGGCTCCAGGCAGGACGGGCAGGGCTACTGTGCCAACCGTGCACTGCACACCCGGCACACGACCCATCCTGGAAATCAGATGACTGGGGCACCTGAGTCTGGCTTTGAGTGGGTCAGGCCAGCAGCTCCCTTGTCGGGGAGTTGTGAGGGTTGGTGAGGGAGGCACAGGGGCTAGGGAGGCTGGCAAGCTGATGACAGGCTCTGGGTATCATCAGCTGTGCTGCAGATGCAGGGACTGGGGCTTCCTTCCGGAACAGGAACAAGTCCTCCAAGCACAGGCCACCCAGAGGCTCCACCCCTCCGAGTCCCTGCTCCCCAGCCATCGCTGGGGCCACTGAGGCAAATGGACCAGGTTCTAAGAGAGCAGCCAGGGGTCCATGAGGAAGGCTACCTCGCGCCTGCCTGGCAGTGTGCCCTGCTCTGGAGCGCGGCACCGCGCAGCCTCGTTCTTCTCCTGTTCCCCTAGCCCAGACCACCCCAAGAGGAGGAGGCTGAGGCTTCGGTGAGCTGCCTGGTCTCTGGTGCCTGGGCCACGGTGTTTCACTGACAGCGCAACAGCCAGGTGCAAGAGACGCGGGGTGCCTGGCAGAGGATGCCTGGGGCTGTGCGCTGGGCATTTGGCTGGAGGACGCTGATGTGGGTGACAGGCTGCAGGCTGGCGGGGTAGGGGGGGCAGGGTCTGCCAGCGCGAGACTCTGCGGAGCTCTCCACTGGCGCAGGCCTGCCTGGTGCCCCGCTGGCTCCCCTGGCTGAGTCCTGGGCTCCAGTCTTGGCCCTCCATGCTGTGCTTTTTCTGGGGGCTGTTCCACGGGGGAGTGCGACCCCCACAGTGGGCCTCTTTGAGGAGGCAGTGTCCACTGGGTGAGGGAGAGCCCCGGGACAGGGCTGTCCTGGAGGCAGCCGCCCTGCATGGGCCCAGTCAAGCAGGGCCCTGGCTGGGCCACTTGAACTCCAAGAAGGAGGGAGACACAGAGGACTGGAGCACGCCATACAGGTAAAATCCATGAATCCACGACGAGACCTGCCACTCTTGGAGGTGACTATCACACCAAGTCCTCCTTACACGGAAAAGCAGTACAGAAACAACGTAATAAAGTCGTAAAAGGTGGTTTGGGGACAGTTATGTACATTTGCGTGTGTGGACTGGGTAACAGGAGATAGTTAGGAGTTTGTTGGTTTTCTTGGTGCAGGACACAGAACATTCTCCTCAGTTCTCCTCTGCTGGGCCCCGCCCTCCTAGCACCAGAGCGGGTCTCCCTGCACCACCCAGGCCGGGCTTGGCCAGAGCGTTGTCAGATGCGAAACAAGCAAAGGCCAAAACACACTGTGTGGTTGGCCTTGATTTCTTGGGCTCCAGTGATCCTCTCTGAGGAGATCGTGCTGGGGTAACTGCAGCCCCAGAGGCCAGAAGGCACACCCAGAACACCCTGGTTGTGTCCCTGAGTCCAGCCCTGAGCCCAGCCCAGCTCACTCGCAGCCTGGAGCCCGCAGACCATGGTGGACTGGCACGCCCGCGACTTGCACGCCTGCCACAAACTAAGCGCTCGAGGCTGTTATAAGCTGCTGGGTCAGGAGTCAGTTATGCAGCGTCGTGTGGTAAGAGCCGGCGTTCAGGGAGGAGGGATGGTGATGCGGTGGCTCAGTGTCTGTGGAGATACTGAAGCTTTCCAAGGGTGGGTGCTCAGTGTTAAGTTCCAGAACCCACTTGCAGGTGGATGACAGCAGTCGGCAGGCAGACGGAGCAAATGTGCAGCCTCAGCAATCCCTGAATCCAGGTCACTGGCATGTGGATGTTCTCGTACTATTCTCTCTGCTTCCATTATGTTTAAAGTGTTTCTTAATTAAAAGTGACAACTGAGGGGACACCAAGAGCTATAGAAAAGATGGGGCCTGCTCAGGCCTCCTCTGACCCACAGGTCCTCGTCTGAGCTCCACACAGAGCAGGATCTGCCCAGATCTCTCCAGCACTGGCCTGAGTGCCCGTCTTCTTGGGGTGCCCCGCATACATGCTGCCCCCCGAGGGCGGGTCAGAGCCCTGTGGCACAGACCGGAGGCCCCACACCCAGGGCTCACAGGGTTCTCAACCAGGTGCCCGAGACACGCTCAGACATCTTTGAACTTACAGAACATTTCTTTGTTGAACATTTCAGTGGAACAGAAAATCCACCCGTCTGAGCCAAAAATGAGACATTTCCTTCCAGATCTTTATTTATCTAAGAAATAAAACAACCCAACCACCATTAACTTCTGTCCCCAGTTACACATGCTGTGTTTGTATAACCGCAGAGTGGCCCAGGCCTGTCACACACTGGCAGGGCCCTCCAGGACATTCTCCCACCCCCCATTTAGACCCAAGAGTATGAGAAGGTAAGTTCCCGGACCACACCCATCAGCTAGTGAACCAGAGACACTGCTCTGTGATCCTGCCGGCATTTCCGGACCATGTCGAATATTTCTTGCAAATGCAACAGCAAAACAGGGGCTCTGGGTGACCATTACTGAGAGGCCGAGTGTGTTCTTCCTCCGCCTACCACCCCACCCTGAGGAGAGAGGAGCCCCTGACTCACCATGGGCTTGAAGGTGATGAGCACTTCGCAGGACATCCCGGCTGACATGGGGCCAGGGGGGTCGAAGCTGCGGTACAAGGGTCCACAGCACACAGGCGGTCAGATGGACCAGGAAGGGCCACGCTCACCGCACTGCGTGGATGGTGCGGTCAAGCTGGACGGGCGCGAGCTGGGCCTTCTGGATCCCTCCTGCCTGCCCGGCACCGTGCGCCTGCCCAGCTGCCTCCTGGGAAGCTCTGGGTGGACTGTGCTCCCTGCGGCCCAGCCCTGTGTCCAGTGGGTGGGGGACGCCCCGGGAAGGTTTGCACGTGAGGGTCAGAGGGAGGGGTGCATGAGGGAAGGCCCTCGGGGCCAGCTCCAGAGGAAACAGGGTGCCACGGCGTGAGGAGCAGCCTGGGGCCGAGGGTCTAGGGTTTTAATACAGTGTGGGATGAGGCCATGGGGAGGCCCAAGATGGGAGCGGGGACTGGAGCCTGCACAGCTGGGCTAGGCAGCCCTATTTCAGGGAAAGAACCAGAAAAATGGCCCCAGATGCACGGGGAGGCTCGCGGGGGTGGGTCTGCCATGGCCTGGACCCTGTGTAAGGGAAGGAGCCTCCCAGAGACCCCGCGCCAGGTCCGTTCTCACACGGCTTTTATGTACACGTGCCTGGTTTAGGGTGTGAGGTAAAGACTTAATATAAAAATTTGTCCCTGGCTGGCAATGTCCCTGTGGCACCAGCAGAAGCCAGTCCAAAACTTTCCTGAGAGGGAAACATTTGCTGCCGGACAGCACAGAAGCCCCAGGTGTGGAGCCCGTGCAGTGAGAGTAGAATCCGAGAGTGAGAAACGTGGGACACGCACAAACCGACACGGCGCAGGGCAGGGCTGACCCCAGGAACTCAGACGACAGACGTGTTGAGTGGAGACTAAAAGATGCACCACTCTGATGGCTAAAGACATAAATAGAGAACTACAGACAACGACAACGGCACCAGACACTGTCAAGAAATGCAACTCATCTGAAAAGGAACTTGGAATTTTTAGAAATGAGAAACTTGGCAGCTGAATAAAAAACTTAGTCAGCAGTTTCAGCGGTTGATCAGATATAGCCTCAGAGACAGTGGTGGACCGCGTAGCCCCCAGAGCCTGGTTCCAGAGCGGGAGGGAGGATGGGAAATGCGGAACAGGTGTCTGGACGCAAGCACAGTGGGAAGGTTTCACGTGGGAGGACAGGAGGGCAAAGCCACGGAGTGGGAGAAATTTCCAAAATTGTTCCAAGATCTGAGTCTTCAGATCTGCGAAAGAGTTCTAAGAAAAGTCACGCACGCCACACACGCTGCAGTGCAGCTGCAAGACGCTGCAGAGGAGAGGATCTCAGAGCAACCAGGAGGCAGGCTACAAAAACGACAGCTGGACTAAAAGCCCCCCCGCCCGGCAATAACAGAAACCAGAAGACAGAGGCGGCATGTCCTCAACATCCGGGAGAAAGCGACTGTCAACAACAAACCCTAATCTCAGTGTGGGGCGGGTGCTGAACTCAGGGCCGCTGAGGCACCAGCCACCACCTGATCCGGGCCTCTGCCTACACCCTCCAGAACCGACGTGGGCCAACAAGAACACCAGTGTGCTGTCAGCAGGCCTTGGACAGGGCCTCAGACTCTGAATTAATTATAAAGGGAATAAACACCAGTTTCCAGGAACGCTCTCTCCACACGTACCTCTGCAGAGAGCTACAAGGATCAGGAGAAACTGCAGGGACGAGAGAGTGGAAAAGATCTCACAGTGGACCCACACTCGGCTCCCCAAAGAGACGGTGCATCTTGAGTGCTGCAGAGCCCGGTGGGTCAGCACCAGCTGCGGAGGAGGCTATCAGCAGGCACACACCCAGGGCAGCAGCCTCCAGATGGCGCCCTCGTGGCAGAGGGGGCAGGTAGGGTCCTGTCCAGCTGCCCCCCTGGAGACTGAGCCACACGCTCCTGGACCGAGAACCTGAGAGCATCCTGGGACCACAGGCCTGTCCACGACCGGTAGAAACCAAGAAGGACGTAGAAAAGAAAAGCAAAACTTTCTAAATATAAGGCAAGATGCTAAGGAGCAGAGGAAGAGAGTAACACTGCAGAAAAGTCCATCATGAGAAAAATGAGGGAAAAAAGAAAACAGAAGAGAAGCATTAGAAGGCCCGGGAAGGAAATGACAGAATCAAAGCAGCCAAGAGGACCCAACACACGCAAAGCGGAGGCTCAGAAGAAGACAGTGGAAACACTGGAGCGAAGTTCAAATTTAAATACATGGCTGAAGGACAGAGTCCTGCACTAAAGGCGGCTTTAACTGCCCGTGGAGACGACACCGGAGTTGCCAGGGAAGACCTGCCGGAACGGTCAGCCTCAAAACACAGTGACCACGAGGGAAAGGTGGCGGCCAGATGAACGCCCAGCCACCAGTGTCGGGGCAACAGGCTGAGCAGAGGAGCAACTTGGGCCCATCTTCATGGAAACGTGGCCTGAGGGTTTATGCCCGGACCGACAGTGGTGTGCTTAGATCAGTGTCCAAGCGCAAAGGCTCTGGACCCTCCACGCCTGGCACCGCAGCCCCACGTCTACCGCCTCTTACTCAGCGCGGATGAAGTCCCGCAGGTGCTCCTCCACGCCCACCAGCTTGCAGTAGTTAATGGCGTAGGTGGCATTTATCAGTGTGATCTTCTTCCTGTACACCTTGCCCACGTCAAAGTCCTAGGAAGGTCAGAAGCAGCAGCTTCAGGTCGGGGGCACTTGGGCATCTTTCCTCCGGCGATGGCTCGAGAGCACCCGGTGAGGGTTCCCCAGGGCAGATCCCGAGGGCTCCCGCTGAATTGAGAAGGGCCCCCCAGGGGGTAGAGGCGCCTGTCCTGTAAGAGGCTTCACCACCGTTGGCAGAACGAGGGCTTTGCTGGGCCCAGAGGGGTAAGCGCAAGAAGCGAAGGCTCCAATCAGGCAGGTTCCAGGGCTGGCGCCCGGCTGATCGGATGGATCAGAGAGAGGGCGGCACCACGGGTGCCCTGAGACAGCCCCTCCTGCACAGTCTGGCAGATGCAGCCAGTGAACGCCGCCCTTAGCCTCCTGGTCCCTGTGCTGCCCCTGCTGAGGTCAGGCAGCAGGTTGTTGGGGGTGGACCCAAAGGGGGTCACCTTGGGTGAAGTTGGAATCTGCCCTGTCAGTGGCTGGCGGCTGCCCCTCACCTCCTCCCCAGGAGGCGGGGCTCGCAGGCTGGCGCTCGACCCTCCACGGAGATGGAGCCTCCTCCTCTCACACTAGCCTCCTCCCGGTAGAGGACAGCACCTGGGGCCACTCCTGGAGAAGCCTCTGGGTTTCCCAAGGTTAAAACAAAAGGCACCACGGGCAGGACGGGGTGAGAAGCTCCTTCACGGTGCAGCCAAGTGGCAGGCTCACCTTGAAGTGGATGATCTCCGGCTTGCTGTTGAAGGGGCGGCCTTTGAATTCGTGCCCGGAGGCCACCTGCCTGTGGGCCGGGCTGCTCCGCAGCCGTTCCAGGGTACGGGCCAAGATGTCCTTGTCCATCTTTGTCCCGCCCACGGGCTTTCTGTCCACGTCTTCCTTAGGCACCTGTTCACAAGGACAGAGGCCCACGCCTGTTAGAGCCAAGCCCAGCGGGCAGGTCCCCGCTCTGTGGGGTCACTAACGCAGCTGGGCAGTGACAGCAGCGGGCAGAGTACACAGCCAAAACCCACGCTGCCCGCAGAGAAGGGCAGGACACCACTTCCCGGGAGTTACTTAGAATGGCTGGATGGGGTTTCTGGCCCACTGGCAAGGCAGGGCATCTTCATTTCAGAAACGGGAAAAAATGAAAGGAAGAAAAGCAGAAACAGCCAGGATCCAGGCAGCGTTCTGGGAGAATGGCAGAGGGCAAGAGGAAGTGTTTGGAAATCCTACAGAAGCAATTTCCTTGAGAGGCAATGTTGGCACAAAGAAAGCTCTGCCAGGGTGAACGGCGCCGCACTCGCCGATGCGGGCGACTGGCAGAGCCGTAGTCAAAGCTGGTCCTGAATCTCTCCCCGAGGCTGTGTGGGGTCCGCCTGGGGCCAGCCACTGAGCAGGCTCCTCCCTGCTGCCCCGGGGTGGTGCCACCCGGAGACCCTCGTCTGTCCAGCTCCGCCATCCTCTCCGCTGCGCCCAGAGGGTGGGAGTGGCTGGCTCGGCCCTGCCTGTCTTGTTGGGCGTCCCCTGAACCAGCAGAGCCAACGGCTTTCCCTGACGGCAGCAGTGACGGGCTTCACAGAAACAGAGGGGCAGCTGATGCCCTCGCGGTGGGGCAGCCATAGCTGGGGCCTCTCCTGTTGGGACTAAGTCCCTGCTGTCCCCAGAAGACCAGTGCTCTGCCCGGGCCACATGTCTTTAAAAAGCTGTCAAAGGGGTTGGGCGTGGTGGTTCACGCCTGTAATCCTAGCACTCTGGGAGGCCGAGGCGGGAGGATTGCTCAAGGTCAGGAGTTTGAGACCAGCCTGAGCAAGAGTGAGACCCCGTCTCTACTAAAAAAAGAAAGAAATTAGCTGGACAACTAAAAATATGGATATAAAAAAATGAGCCTGGGCCGGATGTGGTGGCTCACGCCTGTAATCCTAGCTCTCTGGGAGGCCGAGGCAGGCGGACTGTTTGAGCTCAGGAGCTCGAAACCAGCCTGAGCAAGAGCGAGATCCCGTCTCTACTAAAAATAGAAAGAAATTAATTGGACAACTAAAAATATATAGAAAAAATTAGCCAGGCATGGTGGTGCATGCTTCTAGTCCCAGCTACTCGGCAGGCTGAGGCAGGAGGATCGCTCAAGGTCAGGAGTTCGAGGCCAGCCTGAGCAAGAGTGAGACCACACACCCCCCTCCCATCTCTACTAAAAATAGAAATTATCTGGACAACTAAAAATATATGTATAGAAAAAATGAGCCTGGCATGGTGGCACATGCCTATAGTCCCAGCTGCTCGGGAGGCTGAGGCACAAGGATCGCTTGAGCCCAGGACTTTGAGGTTGCTGTGAGCTAGGCTGACGCCACGGCACTCTAGCCCACGCAACAGAGCAAGACTCTGTCTCAAAAAAAAAAAAAGCTGTCAAAGGAAGTTTGAGCTCTTGCCTTTTTCTGGAAGTATGCTTCCCTGACAGTAAGCAGAGTAACTCGGAATCATCTTTTGAGGCGTTCTGTCCCTTGCAGGGGACCAAGCTACACCAGGGGAAGTCACAGTTCTGCAAAGGGGTGTCTGGGCTGAGGTGCTCGAAGTGGGTGGCCGGAGACCAGCCCACGGGGGCAGGTGTGGGGACCTGCAGTGCCTGTGAGAAGATGCAGCCGGGGGGAGGGGGGTCGGGCTACAAGGGTCTCAGAGAGCGGAAGCTGGCACCTGGTATGGCTTGTGGTCTTCATTCCAGAGCCCAGAGATTTCCGGCTCTGCTAAAGTTTCCTCCTCAAAGTCAGTCCCAGGGTCCCCGTGAACAGACTCGATGGAGACGGCTCTCACCAGCGGAGAGGGCTCGGGGTGCTCAGCGCTGTCCTCCTGTGGGCAGGGAGAGGAACACGGCTAGGATGCGTCCATTACACAACACGGGGCTACACAGAGGAGCAGGAAGAATCATCCCAACCCCATAGGGCCGGTGACGTTGTGCTCCAGATCCTTTGTTCTAACACTGTCTTGTGACTTTTTCCACTTAAAATATAAGTGTTTATATACGTTATTAAATATTTTTACATAATGCCCAGAAGAGTGCACAATATTCCCTTTTATTGGAAAATATTCTAATTTATAGATGATTGCCCTGGCCTCTAACCCTTAGTGCCCATCTTTTCTGCCCAGCAGAGCCCCCGTGCTAACCCCGGGAGGACAGCCGTGAGGGTTTCCCTAGAGCCGGCTTGGGGCCTGTGGGGGAAGTGGGCAAGGGACAGCAGAAGCTGGATGGAGAGAGAGGTGAGTCGCTGCCCACGTGGGACGCACCCCAGCGAAACAGACAGGTGTGAGGAGAGAGGCGGGGGGTGGCCGCAGCGAGATGGGCCCTGGTGAGGAGTGGGGGATGGGCAGAGGTCCCTCCCGGCAGCCGGGCAGGGGCTTTACTGGCAGGGCGTTTGCTGGAGCCAGTGACCTTGACCTTCACATTTTGCGGCACACAAGGGCAGAGGCTGCAGGACCGTGCCGGGCTCAGGCGGGGGCCACCATCCCTCCCCTACACCCAAGGAAACTAGAAATAAATCCCCCCAGCTGAGGGCAGCCACCTACACGGCAGCCAGCACCGAGCAGGCCCTTGGCGTGAATGAATGAACAGGGGTGAGAAGGTGAGAGGAAAGCTGCCATCTTCAGGGTGACATCGCGACTACTCTGCAGTGAGGTGCCGACCTCGCCCCATGTGGCGGCCCTGCTCTGCGTCTGGGGACAGACGGAGGCTCCCCAGTCTTGGAGGTGGCACCACTAAGGTGACATGGCGCTGGGGGTGCTCCAGGACCACGAGGGCTGTGGGTGCCCCTGCGTGTGGAGACCCCCACAGGGAGTTCCGTTCTCTTGCTCCCGGGCTGTGTGGCCTCCGCCCGTGGCTGCAGAGAGCTTGGTGGCACTGCCCTGCAGGTGGCTGTGGCGCTGAGGTTCCCACAGGACCTCCCCTCCCCACACCTGCGCCCTGAGGCCCTTTGCGGCTGCGCGCTCAGGCAGCTGGAGCCCACCTAGAGGAGGGCATTTGCTCACCGGCAGGGAAGAGGTGGCCGGGGCTGTGGTCTTCCCTTCGCAAAAGTCGGACACGTAGCTCCAGGTCTTGTCTCTCAGGGTCCACCGGCCCGCGGTGGTGCTGCGAGGAAGCCGCTTCTTCCTGTGTCCCTCCTCAGCTTCCTCTTTCAAAATCCGGCCGACAATCTCCTGCTTTCTGAGCCTCTGCTCCTCCTCGAAGGCCCTGCGTGCCAGGCCCGCGCCAGACTAAGGGGTGCGTAGGTGGGTGGAGCTGCCCCCAGGACCCCTCCCAAGGTGGGCTGCGAATGGGCGGCAGAACCCCGGTTATGACTCAGGGGGTCACTCAGGGCTCTGGGACACCCGGAGGATGCTGCCCCTGGTGAGAGAACCAGGAGCCCACATCGGGGCAGGGACCTAAGCAGGAACTGGCCAGGGTCAGGGTCTGGGGAGAAAGGGACAGGCCCTTCTTCAGACAAAGGCACCGAGGACAGTTTACATGGAAGTTCCTGGTGCATCATGTGCAAGGCCGAGAAAGGCCAGAAATGAGGCTGGAAGTCAGGTAGTTGGAAACCTGGCCCTCAGAGGTGGGTGTGGGATGTGGGAATGGGGTCCAGGCCCTGGCCCCTTGGCCTCTGGAGAGCCCCCAGCCCTGCCCTGGCTTCTCAGGAGGAGGGGCTGGTGGGCTCTTTCTAAGCCCACCCAGAGCTGCCGACCAGGTCTCCAGGAAGACAGGGCCTGGCCTGGTGACATTTTCGAGGTACCCCAGGGAACTTGGTGCCACCCGGACACTTCCTTTGCTCACTCCTTGCTTGAACCCTTAGCCGGCTTCCTGGTGCTGCGGCCTCGGGGCTGTCCCGAGGTGGGGCCCAGGGAGAGAGAGTAGCTGTGCTGGGTGTGGGGGACCCCCTTGCTCCCTACACCTGCCCACCCCTCACCGTGTCTGGGCCTCCAGCTCCTGGTGCCGGCGCTGATGGAAAAGGTGTCTGAAGGCGTCTCCACCCTGGGCCAGAATCGCCTCCTTCTCGGCCTGGGCCCTCCGCTCTGCCAGCTGCCCCTTGGCCCGGCTCCACGCTTGGAACTTCCGCAGCGTTTCCTTGGAAATAGGAAACATAGAGGTGACAGCGTTGGCACACGGCGTGTACGTGCACACGCATACACACGCACACGCGTGCACACATTCAATGCAGGAGCACGCACGCACACACAGGGCCTTTCCTTTGAACAGGTGTCGTCAAGCCGGTGCCAACGCCTGTGGGTCCGGTGCTGGGCAGTTTGCACGCATCACACAACTCCGCACAGCCCGTCCCTCCTCACCCCCGCTGGGCCCCACGGGCTCTCTCTGCAGGGCTGGCCGTGCGCCGCAGGCCCCCACTTCCCCTCCACTCTCCCTGCCCAAGACCCCAACCCTGGCCCCGGCACGTGGCCTTGTGGAGGTGGGTGCCCTGGTCCCCTGTGCACCTCATCGGGCTGTCCCTGCTCTTGCCACAAGACCAGGCCGCACGAGAACAGGGCCAGGCACAGAACCCGTGGCAGACGCTCAGGAAGCTTCCAGGGAGCTGCCGAGTGGGCGAGTGGGCCCTGGGCAGCGAGCCCAGCGCAGGGCTGGCTTCTGGGAGCAGGGGCCCCGGGCAGACCCCCCGCAGAGTGGGACGCAGGGGAGGCTGCCCCTGCGTACCCGGTTCGCCGCGATGCTGCTCTTCAGCGCGAGCACCGCGTCCATGCGTCTCCTCATACGCTCACGGGACACTGCCTCCTCCTGCTTCTCTTGCTCTCGAACCCTGGGGGAAGGCACATTTTTAACCAGGGAAACCAGGGGCTATGAGGGATGTCATCACAGGAGCCTCCAGTGTCCCACCAAGGGGACAATGAAAGGTGACGGTTCAAAGGTGAAGGGGAAAAGCGCCGCAGCTGCAGGTCACCCTACAGGGACAGGCTGCTGGACACGTGTTTTCCTCTAGTCCAGAGTCTGTGTCAAGACTGCACCTCACAGTCTCTTCTCAACACAGACGGCAACTCCGGACTAAAAACACAGATTTATTGGGTTTTGATGACAAGGTGATGACAATGAAATCGGAGAATTTCAAAACAAAAGCAAATGACCCACATTCGTAGGTTTGTCCTCAGGGGCTCAGACCGGAGAAGGTCCTGGGAGAGAAAGCGCTACCTTCCCAGGGAGGCCTTGAGGAACTTCACTGCGGTCCTGTGATTCTTCTGGATGTCTTCCGCCAGCTTCTGCTGCCTGAGTCCGTGTCTCTGCTGAATGAGCAGGGACTTCCTGCCACGAGACGGGCAGTGAGAGCAGAAATGCGGCCTCGCGCCTGCACGCGATCTCTGGGCGGCTGCCGCCCGCGGTGTCATCCTGCGCAGGCTCCGTCGGGCCAGGCATGAGGAGCATGGCCAGAGTGGCACCGCAGGCCACACACGTCAAAGCAGAGCCACCAGGCCCAGGTGCAACGCAGCCTGGCAGGGGTCTGGGAGGGGAAGGGGCGGGGGCGGCCGTGCTGCAGGCAGAGATAAAAGCAGGGACCAGGGCCCATGGCGTCCACAGCCAGGGCCGGGATCCCTCAGGAAGCAGCGGAGATCTGGCAATGGGATGGACGGGGTGTGGGGTGGTGAGGCATCGGGAGGACCTGGCTCCTGGCCTGGGCAACTGGACAGAGGGACCCACGGGGTGACACGAGAAGGAGCTGGGGGCCCGGAAGGTGGGGAGGGGCTCAGGGCAGGGCTGGGGGAACCGGCCCGTGGCCTGCAGAACAGGTGGGGCTGGTCTGGTGGGCGGCGGAGCTGCCAGTGGGGGGGACGAGTGAGGCCTGGGCACTCAGGGCCGAGGGGTAGCTGGGTGGGCGTGGAGCCCGGGAACACCCTGGCTGGGGAGGGCGGGTGGGGGGACTGAGAATGCCCTGGAGGGAGCTGTGGGCAGGGCAGCAGGCAGAAGAGCCAGCAGAGGTTGGGGCGCCAGGCTGAGGAGCAGAGGGTGGCAGGAGCCGGCCCTCCTGGGCACTTACCGCAGCCTCAGCAGCTGGTTCTTCTCTGCCTTCTCCATGGCCGCCTTCTCCCTGCAGAGCTGTTGCGCGGCATGCACCTGGCAGTACTTCCCAGCAGCCTCTGTCTTCTCTTGGTTAGACTTCCGGAAGTCCTCCAGCTGCCCCTGCTGTAGCTCGATGTGCCACATGGCGTTCCTTGCAAACAAGAAGCTTCTGGTTTACGGCAGCAGTGGGGCGGGAGACCTGGGGCTGCACATCCATCACGGGGACATGGAGAGGGTCTGGGCACGGAGCTCGGACAAATACTCCAGGCAGACCCTGGACACCACCGAGGGGGCAGCCCCTCCTACAAGCAGCCCCCTTGCCCCAGAGTTGCCCAGAGGCAGAGGTCCGCCCTGGCCCGCATCCACTTGTAGGGAGATCACCAGCCCCGCTAGAACCTGGCTGGCCCTGTGCACCCCGCATGCCCATGGGCACCCCCGGTGCCAAGTGCCGGGTAGGACAGCTGTGGTGGGCCCGCAGGAGCCCTTCTGCCCTGAGGAGGGCGTTCAGGAAGAGATGGCGGGACTGCGTCCTCTGTTGAAGAAGGTCACTGAGCTGATTAACTGACCCCAAGACCACCATTTAGTCTTCACAAGTGCTTGGGGAGGGGCTCCAGTGTGTGGTGACAGCCAGCCCTGCCCAGGCCAAGTCTGCCCCTTTGCTGGCGACTAGAGGCCTGCCCGAGACTGCGCGCTCGACTGTGAGCCTGTGCCGGGTCTGCCATGGCGCCGGTTCACTCTCCGCCGGGAGGGGTCTCTGTACGCAGCAGGTGGGTCTGGTAGAGAATGCTCCTCCCGAGGACGCGGACCTCCATCTTTAGGTGCACCACGGTGTCCTTTCCCCAACAGTCAGGTGAGGACTCGGGGCAACCGGACAGTGGACGCGCTTGGACAGCGGGGCCAGACCAAGTGACGAGACGCGCCAGCCTGGAGACAGGCCAGCGCTTGACCGAAGGCCCAGACCGGCCAGAGCCGCCACGTAAGGGTCGGAATGCAGGGACGAGGTGGGGCGGAGGAGCTCTAGCGGCAGGTTTGCCTGCCGCGCAGTCGGCGTGACGTTTGCGGCGGGTCTTCAGTCAGCACTCTCAACCACGTTAAGAAAATTTCCCTCAAAGTTTTTTTTTTTTTTTTGAGACAGAGTCTCACTCTATTGCCCGGGCTAGAGTGCCGTGGCGTCAGCCTAGCTCACAGCAACCTCAAACTCCTGGGCTCAAGCGATCCTTCTGCCTCAGCCTCCCGAGTAGCTGGGACCACAGGCATGCGCCACCACCCCTGGCCAGTTTCAATTTTTAATGTTTTATTTAGGATTTCTCTGTTTATTTCCTGAGATTGGGCCATATTTTTCCTTCCTTGTACTGTCCTCTTGGTTTTGGTGTTAAGCTTATACCAGTTTATTTGAAAGGTTGGGCGCACTATGTTTTCTTTGTTGGGGTAATTTTAAATAACTGATTCTTTTTTAATGATCGTGGGTCACTTGGATCATCTATAACCGGAAGCATCTGACCTCCCGACGTGTGGCATTTCCATCTCTCCGAGTCCGTCTGCCTCCAGGCCAGCCCTCACCTGGGGTATTTCTGTTCTTCCTGCTCATCATGAGATTCCTGAATCACCAGTTCTGGAAAACTCTGTCATTTATTGGACTATTGCTTCTCCTCATTCTGTGATCTTCCCGTGGTCAAATGACAATTTGAGTTAACAGCTTGCAGGTCCCTTATTTGTAAAAGGCAGGATGCTGTCTCAGTCTGTTCCTGCTGCTATAACAAAATACCGGAGAATGGACAATTTATGAACAACAAGAAATTTATCTCGCATAGTTCCGGAGGCTGGGAAGTCCCAGATCAAGGCACCAGCAGATTTCACGTCTGAAGAAAAGCTACTCCTTTTATTATTTATTTATTTATTTTTGAGACAGAATCTCACTATGTTGCCCGGGCTAGAGTGCCGTGGCGTCAGCCTAGCTCACAGCAACCTCAAACTCCTGGGCTCAAGCGATCCTCCTGCCTCAGCCTCCTAAGTAGCTGGGACTACAGGCATGCGCCACCATGCCCGGCTAATTTTTTCTATATATTTTTAGTTGTCCGATTAATTTCTTTCTATTTTTAGTAGACACGGGGTCTCGCTCTTGCTCAGGCTGGTTTCGAACTCCTGAGCTCAAACAATCCACCCGCCTCGGCCTCCCAGAATGCTAGGATTACAGGCGTGAGCCACTGCGCCCGGCCAAAAGCTACTCCTTTTAGATGGTGCCTCCTCATGGGGGGGGGGAACGGGGGGCAGAAAAGACAACCTTGTGGCCTCCAGCCCCTCATGAGGCACTGATGCCAGCATGGGGGAAGGACAGCAGCACCCAGACCACAGCAGCGGCCGGCCAGGGAGGAATGGGGCTCTGAGAGCAGGAGTGGGGATGTTTGCGTGGATTTGGACACATCTGTGAACCACGAACCCAAATCCGTTGACAGTGGAAGCCGCTTGTCCCTGCCCGGCCCCTGAGTTGCTCAGAGGCCCAGCCCTGCTGCCCCAAGGGCTGTGGTTTCTCCTCTTGCCCTCCCCGCCGTGCCCATTGCTAGATGCCGGCAGATGCCAGCATGCGCAGGGCCTTCGCCAAAGTCTGGCCGGAAGGGAGGAGGGTCCCACACCAGCCAGTGTGCTGACGGGGACGCGCTGACCGCGTGCCGAGAGTGGCCCAGCTGGCTGAGGAGCCTGGGCTCAGAAGAGAGCCGCGTCGCCGAAAGCCAAGAGGCCACAAATTCCCTGGTATCACGTCGGAGAAGGAATCCAAGTATTTGCAGAGATTACACGTTGGGAAGGTTTTACCAGGTGCAGGGGACACACCCTTCCTCATGACTGTGGTGAGACCTGTGCCCTTCGCAAGTGCGGTGGTGGCACTCTGAAACAAGCCACCACGCGGGTGGGAGACGCTGCCTTTGCGGGGCTCCCTGCTGTGCTGGGATGGTGGGATCCCGGGGGGGTGGGGCTCCGTCTCGGAGGGTTGGAAGGGAGAACCCGCGGCAATGCCACTGCACCGGCTGGCGGAGCTGCACCGAGTGGTCCCGTGTGGGCAGCAGATCGGTGTGGGCACACAGAGGCTATCGATTTTGGGGTCCCTGGGACTGACATAGGCGGGCTCCCACCTATGTCCCACCAAGTCCCCTTCATCTGAAGAACCAGAGAGATACAATGGCTTTGGCTATGAGGGAAGGGGCCAGAAGCACAGGCAGCCCCACCGGCTAGAAAGGCCAGGCCTTCAGGAAGGAACGTGGCCCTGCCCACGCTTCACCTTCAGCCCCCTGGGGCCCGGGTCGGGCTTCTGACCTCCGGAACCATCAGACTGTAAGTCTGTGTTGCGTTGCGCCACCAGGTCTGTGGTGACAGAAAGCAGCCACCATCCAGCAGGTCCCGGTGCCTGGTCGGGCGCGTGGAGCCTCCTCCTGTCTGTGCTGAGCTTGGGTGTAGCAGAGCAGCGGCTGCAGGACCAACGCGCCGCGGCTCCACCAGGCAGTGTTCTGCACTGTCTTGCTCAGCGACGAATCCTAAATGCTTAGAAGAGGGTCTGGCATACAGTGGGTGCTCACTGTTGAGCAGATGAACCAGCAGATGTACCTAAACCACCGGGTCGTAAATTCGGACGCCCGAAAGCTCCCACTGCGCACACCAGCCCCAGGGGCTCTCTCAGCCCCACGTGGGCGCCACGTCTTCCAGCGCCGCCCAGTCTCCCCTGCAGCGGGAGAGCGGCTCCTGTCCTGGGAAGACCCTGCCTGGGTGTGGGTCCCCTTCCTTGCCAGTGGGGCCCATCCAACGTGGCCTCCGAGCAGGGAAGTTTCTCAGCAGACGTGGTGGGAAACACAGAGTCCACTGGGATCACCAAGCGCCTCCCACGCAGGCGGCTGGTCTCGCTGGAGCAGTGGCCCACGTGAGGCCGCATGTGCGGTGGCCGGTCTCCAAGATGTCCCCAAAAGCCCCCGGTGTCCGTGCCTTGAGGAATCTCCCATGCACATCAGGGCTGGAGAAGGACAAGGGCTGGTGTTTCTGTCTCGCCCGGGACACGCCCTCAGGGAAAGTCAGCTGCCTCACTGTGACCAGCCCCAGGGAGGGGCCCATGTCACGTACAACCAAAGCCTCAGCCAGCGGCCGAGGGGGTGAGTGTGGGGGGAGGGCCTCCAGCCCAGTCGAGCTCCCTGTGGTCCCAGCTTGGCCAACACGTCGACGGCACCCAGCAGAGCCGCTCCTGGCTTCCCCACCCAAGATGTGGGATCATAAATGATTGTTGCGTTAAGTGGCCAAGTTCTGGGGTAACTTGTTACACAGCAACAGATAACACACAGTATTGTGACAGTGGGCAGACATGCTTTGTGGGGTTAGGGTACTGTCCCACACAGATGTGGCTTATGTCCCAGCGGGGCCGGTGTTGCGCTGCGTGTCTCACAGCCGGATGCAGGGGACAGCACCCTCCGCATCACACCTCATGACACGGCCACAGAAGCTCTGTTTCCAACCCTCTACGTGGGGTGCTGCTGTTTAAGGAGGCTCAGTTCCCAGGGGAGGAGGGTTGGAAGGGAGAACCCGCGGCAATGCCACTGCACTGGCTGGCGGAGCTGCACTGACGTTCCGTGCTCCTGTGCTGCCCGGCCAAGAGACCACGAACGAGCAGTGCTGCTCTCCTGGGAGCCGGCAGGGAAGGAGCCGGGGAGCCTGGGGCCCTGGAGCTGCCACTCCCAGTGGCAGAAGTCAGTGAACAGTGGGCACCGTCCAGCTCTGGCATGTCCAGGGCTGCAGCAGGAAAGAAGAAAGTGCTCAGAGATGACAGGGACACATCCATAGGACACAGGGCCAGCTTGGAGGAGCTCCCACTCCCAGGTTCGTAAGTAATAAATAACGATAGCAGTGAAATAGAAACCAGAGTCTACACTGATAAATAAATACGGAAATCAACGTGGAGAAGAGAAGTTCTTAGGGTAGGAAGCTAAGACACAAGGAATGATGGAATCAGAAAGTCGCCCTTGGCGACCGCCACCACGGTAACTAGTCTGGACGAGAAACACCAAGAGCTGCCAACACCACGGACAGGACAGCAACAGCTCCCCATGGGGAGGAGGTCACTCTGTGTGAGGAAGGCTGGCGCTGCCACGAGGACGCAATCGTCCCCAGGACATGTCAGAGACAACCTGAGTGTCATGTCGGTGACAACTGTCATGGGGGGCTGAGGGGAGAACCAGACACCCCTAACGGGCCTCTTGCTTCAGGGATGTCACCAGGGCGCTGGGGCTGAGGGGAGACTGGCATTTTGTGCCATTTTGCGACTCTTCTGTTTAAGTTTAGAATTGTTTTGTAAAAAAAGTTTTTTAAAGACATAAATGGACGGTCACAGCAACCCAATAAGGACGGGTCCGCCAGGGCCTTATCGGCCTGGTGAAGCCCCTGCCCAGCGGGGAGCGGTGAGAGAAGATGCATACGCCAGCTGCTGTCACGAGGTGACATAAGGACCCCTGTCCTCCTGGTTGTGGCACAGACTCGGTGTCCCCCACTTCTTTATGCAGGCCGTGCCATAGCAGTCGGCTCTGCACTTCAGGCCACTGGTCACCAGCTACTAGTGCGGGTGGTGACTCAGCTACGGCAGAGAGAGTCAGAGACACGACCGCGGGGAGGGCGTGAGACACCTGGTCGGACAGGGCTGCAGCCGCGGAGCCTTCCTGCCCAGCCCGGTGTCCATGGGAACAGCGCAGAGCTCCTGGGGCTGAGGGGCTGAGTGGCGTGGGCGTCCTCTCCGTCACCTCATGAATGATTTATGTCCCTTCCTAAGCCCCTTCTTGCCCAAACTCGCCAGAGCCAATTCCAACGTACAAGCCAAACTCCGACGGTATTTAGAATAGTGCGGCTGTTTCCCAATGGAGGCTTCCAGAAAAATTCGAAAGCACCTTTTAAAAATGCTGCTGGTTGTTCTATGGAAGCACCGACTTTATAGTTCCTAAGAACACAGTAAATCTGGAGAAACTGAAAACCTTCAGAAATGTGAAGCCTTCTCCTTTCAACTGTTGCATCCGACAAGTCCCCTTTCAGTTTTCGAGCAGCCTGACAGCTAAGTCCTCCCACTCGGAGCGGCCCCCACGCCCTGGGCCGCGCCCACCACCTGCCCTGACTCACTCGCTCTCCGCCAGCATGGCGGTGCTCTTCGCCTGCAGGTCTCTCTCGTTCTCCAGCTCTGTGCACAGGCGTCTGGACGCCGCCTGGAGACGGCCCACGGCTGCCCTGTGGCATAGCAGAGGGACAGGCCAGGGGCGTCAGTCTCAGCTCATGAGGGGAGCCCCATGGCCACCTGGCGCCTGCCATGGCCTCCCCACTCTCAGCAGGGAGAGCCTGAGATGGGGAGGCCTTTCACGTGCCACGTCCCGCTGGGCAGGCAGGGCCAGAGCGCCGTGGCTGGGGTGGGGGTGGGGAGGAGCGGGTGGCCTGGGCTATGAGAACAGCGTAGAGGACCTGGCTGCGTGGGGTGCAGGAAGTGGGTCTGGAACACCTGGCCAGAGGTGGTGGTCACCTCTAGACCTTGGCCTCTGTGTTCCACAGAATCAGGTGGCCTACGTCCTCAGAGCTTGTCTGGCTGCTGCCATGTGAGCTGCGTGGGCTCTGGCTCCTCTCCTCTACCCTTGGGACCCAGCCCCAGTGGTAGGGACCCCCCCAACCAGGGGCTGTGGGACCTGGTGGCCGTCCCAGCCCCACCGGCCACTGGTGCTGTCCTGGCTGCGCCAGCAGCTCCAGGACCTACATGCTGCAGGGCCCTTCTCGGGGCTGGGCTGAGCTGGGCCCTGCAACCTCAGAGGGTGCAGCGAGGCTCCCGGGGGCGTAGTGTGCGGAGCCAGGTCTTCCCAGCAACCCCCAAGCAGCTCCTGTGTCCCTGTGTGGTGCCCACGCCCTCCTGCCCCCTCACCACGATGCCCAAGGCAAGGCAGTCCTGAGTTCCTCCCCAACCCAGCCACCCAGCCTTCTTGGCCTCGTGGTCACTTGGCTTTATGGTCCTGGTGGCCTGTGTGGCCACCTGACGCTTTGTGTCCGTGTTTTGTGTGCTACCCTGACCACAAATGGTCACCACCCGGCTTGGAGGCCCACCCTACACCCCCAGGGCAAGGGGGCCACCTACGCATTGTTGGCCTCTCTCTCAGAGGCGATCGTGGCTGCCATGCTCGCCTGCTGTGTGCGAATGAGGTCCATCCTCTGGCGACAAGCTCGCAGCTCCTCTCTGCAACATGGAAGCAAGAATCTGGATGGTGGCTCCCTGAAACTGCAGCCTCCGAAGGGGCAGTGGGGCTGGGTAGGCAAGGCCGGGCCCCCAACTCTCCACTCGCCCAGGCTGGGGGTCTCTCCAACACAATCAAGGGACACGAGCAGGGTCTTGTCCATCGTTTTCTGAAAACCCTGCCACAGGGCCAGCTGTGTGGCCTCACTCGGCAGTGATGTGCTTTCAGGAGCCACGAGAGCACACGGATCTGCAGAAACCGAGCTCAGCAGGTACAGGGCGCCAGTGGGAGGGCTGGGGCTGTGGCAGGGACGCAGCTCCCCAAGAGTGACCCGGAACAGGTCAGACAGGCCTGGGTACCCCCCTAGCGCTGTGAGCCTGGATGGAACCCTGGTTCCAGGGCCAGCTCCTGCTAGCGGCTCTCACCACCACGAGAACAGCAGAACAAAGCCCAGAAACTGGCTCCGCAGGGCCTCTGGGAGACACGAGGGGACAGGTAACGTGAGGTGCCCTGAGAGGCAGGGGAAATGCGAGTTTTCCCAGGTGAAGTAACGGTGCTGAGGTTACGAAGAGAATGTTTTTGTTTTTTAGGAGACGCTGACATATTTAGGAATGAAGCATCACGTCTGCGATTTGCTTTTAAGTATTAATAATTCAGCAAAAAACCCAACCTATAGACATAACATACAAACGCACACAGCGAAGAAATCACAGGACAGGGTGACAGGCGGCGACTCTGGGTGCTGGTGTCTGGGTGGCAGCTGCACTGTGTGTTTCCATCGTTTCTCTTGGAAGGGGCTGAGAACCCAGGACGCCAGCTCCGGGGGGCGCTGCTGAGCTCCTCCCCTCGGAGACGCTGGCAGGACCCTCCTTGCAGGGTTTCTGGGAGACACAGGCGCAGGACCGACCCTGCCTAACTCGGGGCACAAACAGCCCGGGCCTCCCCACAGCGCTCACCTCGTTTTCTGAATGAAAAGATCTTTCTCCTCGTGCATCTTATCGAGGTAGTCCAAGCTCTTCCGCAGGTGATGTGTCCGAACTCTGTCTTCGACAGCTGTTTTCCTCTTCGTTTCGTCAGCATCAGTATTTGGTTGTTTCACTGAACTTAAAAAGGACACAGCTGCTGACCACACCCCCACAGCTCACAGAACTCGCTCCTCGGGCAAGACCTGCTGGGTTTGCCCCCAGTAGTTTTGGGGGAGGGAGACGCTGCCCACCCAGGGGAATTACCAGCAGGGTGTGGGACAGGCACCGTTCTCGGCCTCCCGACGGGGAGATTCAACATTGAACTCCGGATCCTCTAATTCATCTCCTTCTAGAAATCAAGGCAAGAGTTAAAAAGAAAAGCAGATCAAACATGCAAGTGTGAAGTTTTAGGACAAATCTTGACAAGCTCTCACTTGGGCAGTGGAGGGAACGGTGTCTCAGAGCAGGGGGTCTCCCAGCATCATCCAGGGACCCCTGAGTCGAAACTACTTTCACAATGACGCTGACACACTGTGTTTCACTCTCTCCTCAGGAGGTACAGCAGTTTCCCACAGGCTGTACCATGTGACATCGC